GCAAATTGGATTGAATTCAACCAGAATATCCAGAATATCTTCTGGAAACTTTTTAAATGTTTTCTTTTTTTGTCCAGAAAAAAATCTGAAAATAATTTTTAAAAATAAAAAGAATAATTTCAATGAAAATAAATTCTTCTATGAAATCTAAGTATGTTTTGATATGAGTAGCAGTCAGTAGGATGAGATGAACTTATTAAACAGACTCAACCTAAAACCCTCATTTCTGCACTCTGAGCAGAGATCTCCAAATCAGACCCAAATATCTTTATAAAACCATTCAACGTCATGAAGTTTAGAAGTCAGATGTCTTTGCTCAGTTCTTCCCAAACTGGTGGCTGTGTTTATGCCTGCCGTGCATGACTTTGGAAGCCTGCTTGATTTCCCCTGCCTTGAAAGTGCCATCGGTCCCCAGCTCAACTGCCCTCCTTCGAGCCTTTTCCTCCTGGACCCTTTGGACTCCTCATCCTGCTCTCCCACCTGGTTCCTGAATACCCCCTGGACTTCCTGCTGCCTCCTCTTCCCTTCTGCCTGAATAAATCCCTTTACATTCTTCATCCTCCAATTCTGTGTTTGCTTTTGGGTCCTGCCTCCCCTAACCCGTAACAGCACCAGCCTAAATTTAAGAGTTAGAGGAATCAATGGTTGCATCAGAGATAAACCCTTCTTAGGTTGTGTAGGTAACTGGGTTTTTATCTTGTTTTAAAAAGTTTCATGCAACCTAGTTTGGGAGACAGATGGATGGATGGATGGATGGATGGATGGATGGATTATCTTTGGCAAATTTAATTCAGATATGGTTACAAAACATTAAAACTTGCCAATGAAAACCACGCTTGAATAATTTAAGATCAATCTGGAATTTCCACTTTTATCACCTATCAGACTTTTACTCTTCAGGAAGCCTGCTGTAGCATCATGTTGACACTTTGGTGTATCCACAAGAGCCCAGATGATAAACAGAGCCATAAATCTACAGGTAATAAACCCACTGTCAGCGTTACAACAAGACATATTGTAGTAATAAAACATTACGCAGACACTGACAGGCATTAATCGCTGAAAAGCACCACCGCCCACAGTTTTATGAGGAGTCAGTTTCATTTGCTCCCCGCTGGATTATATTAATGCACAGCAATAAACTGGTTTATACAAGCTTAGTCAGAATGGAGACAGAGGCCTGGAGGATTGACTTCAGATGCCACTCCAGGTGTGTGATGCATTGCTGATAAAGTCCTACTTTCCACTGACTGTTAACTAAAAGAGGGATGGACAACGGAATGTTTCACACCCATGAGTTTACTTATTTAGAAAGCTATTATAATCAAAGAGTAATATTTACAGTGGATGGATTTTTCACTGGTATTTTAACGAGAAGGTACTTGCAAATTACATCGGCACAGCAGCGATAGAAAAGAGAAATATATGATTATCAAAACTCATCCAGCAGTTGACAGGTGCAAGCTGCATTTTTCACCGACTGCTTTTGTTTAGATTGGGATTTAATCTGAAAGAATATATTAAATTATCAGATCTGAAGTCAAACAAAGCTATTCCTTTGTCAAACTATCAATCTCTAAACATTTTCTGTGATGTTTAAAGAAAAACAGTAATGAAAAAAAGATGCCATAGCTTGGGTAACAAACATCAGGTGGGATGAGGCTGCATCACTTTGGTGACCGGTTCCACATGGCAACAAAAAAGACTTTAGACATTTCACTCAGGTCCCTGCAGCCTTAATCTACATGGTTCATAATTACATTTATTTACACTTCTGTTTGCTGACTGATTCACTGGCGCGCTCCCAGCCAGGGGATGACATGTAGTGCAAGTGCCTTAAGCCAAACTCCTCCTTTCTGAGTTACCTGTGTCTCTGAGTGCTGCTTGGTTCTTTCCCTCTTCTCGACAGAGAATAACTTCCACAGCCGTCGCCACAGAAAAGTGGCCACCAGACACACACTCCCTAATATCCAAACATCTTTATCCCTTAGAAAGTTCTCCATGAGGGAAGGCTTCCTTCTCCTGCCGCTGTCTGTCCGTGCCGGATAACTGTCTTGTCTCTGGCTTGTTAATGCCTCGTCTTGAATAGCAGGTGGCTGTTTATTGGAAAATAGCTGGGCTTCTGTGGCCGAGTATTGAATGCTCCACCTAATTTCTCACTACACTCTCGAACAAGGACAGTGTTTCTGTGCCGTCAAACCACCCTCCCACCAAGCCACCCATTCACCCTCCGCCCGGCTTCCTCCCAACCTCCCACCGCAGGACCTATAAGGAGAGAACATGCTGTCTCTGAGACGTGATCGAGACAGGTGGTGTTGGGTTCAGGGTGTCGTTTCTGTACGCAGAATCAGATGCCCGCTGCTGCTACCAGCAAGTTCATGAGACCCGGCTATATCCTTTAACTTCAGACACAGCACTTCATGAAAGCACGCATGCATCCTCCTCGGTATGTCTGTCAGACTGCTTAGCTTCTTTATGCCTCATAAAATCACAGCACAGGATTATAATGGCAAACAAACACGCCGGCTTGTAAACAAACACCTGCATGTCTCTGATGCTAATATTATCTCATTTTCATTGCACGGGAATAGAGGCGAATGTCTTTTTCTGGTAGACTTATATTTCCAGACAATGTGAGGAAGATAAGGCATCTATTCAGAAAAAAGAAACGCACTGGAGACGGAAAAGGTTAATCTATTAAGTATTAAAACAGGCAAAAACAGAAAAAGTCTGGAAAAAAGGACAATTCAATCCTATTTCTATAACATCACTTTAAGTTCAGCACAATCTGCTTTAATAGACATGAGCAGATCCACTTTGTTGGGGTTGTTGGCACAGACCAGCAGTTTCATTTTTGACCTCTGTGTGGGAGAAAACTATCTCTGAAAGGAGCTCATGATTTATATCATATAGTGGAATGTAACCGCTTCATCATGCAAGCACAGTCCTTCCCTTTGCCCTGTGGAACCTTTCAGCTGAAAAAGCGAGGGGTTTTGAACTTTGGCGCCTTTAAATGTTTCTTTGGAAATCATTGTGAGGGTTTGTTTCCATTGAAAGAAACCCTTTTAATCTAAATTCTTAATTTCCAAAAGTAAAGAATTATTCTGCAAATTCACAGACATGCAAGTTCTCGAATTAGAATTACATTTTTTTCATTGATTTTTTTTCGGAAGAGTTTTCATTCATTTTTTCTTGTTTATTTTTATTTTACCCAAAAATTGTGTCTTAGATCCTTTAAAGGTGATTTTATATTCATTTCCATAATTATCATGTTTTTTTTTTTTACAGTACAGAATGCAACAGTCCAAACAAGTTTGATTTAACAAGCAACAGCAGCTGGTTGCGTTTAAGGGCTGCAGGGGTTACAGAGGAGGGCCCCTGAGAGGATAAGTATCCCAAGTGGGCAACTGAGGAGAACCTCCACACAAACCAAGACTGAGTGGCAGCTTTTGGTAATGAAACCAAATGTAGGTGGTCTGAATGTTTCTGACAACTTTGGAGACAGATTGTGGTATTTAGAACAAAAGCAGCTACATGAAGAGGAGGAATCTGGAGTGGAGAAAGCAGAGAAAGAGACGTTCACAGGGTGCTGCTAGAAAAGGAGGATCTAAAGTTTCATACGGTGCCTCACATGTAACTGGAACATTTCTCGGGGTTCAGCCTGGTAGTCACGTTGTGCCCAAACTGATTTATAACTGAACCAAACAATAAATAAAATTAAAATATTTTACATATAAACTCAGCATGAACTATGCTCAGTATGTGAGCCACTTTTCCTTGTATATTAGAGGTGTGCTCACTCTAAAAAACAAACAGCTTTCAGACTCTGTGCCGAGGCCGTCCATAGCTCTGGATAAATCCTCCAAGATACTTGAGATTTTTACATTTATTTGAATATTCATATATTCAAAGTAGTTATTAATAAACCAATCATTCTATTTTCTTTCAAAAAGCAATCAGAAATTCCTTAATTATTTGTTCATTTAAGTGGGAATAAAGCGTTTGGTCAACTTTATTGAATCCCAGATTTTTTGTAAGTATGTGTCCCTTAGTGTCAGTGAGAGTGACGTCTTCTTCAGGAAACGTACAGGCGTTCATGTACTCTGACCAATCTCCAGTGCCTACTGGCTTTTCCTCTACAGCAGAGGTCTCAAACTCCAGTCCTTGAGGGCCGCTGTCCTTCAGGTGTTAGAGCTTTCCCTGTTTCAACACACCTGATTCACGTCTAACAGCCTTTAGCGGGCTGGTGCAAAGCTCAACAATGTCCAAAGGAGAGCCAATTTAATCAGAATCAGGTATGTAGAAGCAGGAAAATGTCTAAAACCTGCAGGACAGCGGCCCTGGAAGACTGGAGTTTGAGTCCCCTGCTCTGCAGAGGGAAGCTTTGTTGCACGTATTCAAAACGAACCGCGGCTGCCATCTTGTGGCGACTATATTTGTATCTCTGAACATTCTTTTCGCTCTGAGGTTTCATGTGTCTGTTTGTGTGTGTCCGTGCGTCACGGACTGGGGCAAGAGGGTTCAAGCCGGGAACCAGACTGTAAGAGATCTGCAGCTCCCTCTAGTGAGCTCGCTGTTGTTCACCTGTCAGGTCATGTTGGGCCTTTCAGCGGATGTCAGGAACTGAAATAGTGTTTGCTGTGGCTATTTCAGGTCCCTTTTTCCCCTCTGCTCACACAGTATTGCAGCTCAATAGACCAGGGGATGCAACAACACAACTTTTATGTAAATTGGGCTCCAGAAATGCTGAAGGAATTCGGTTCATTTGGTTAATTGACATTCAGTCATGGAGAAACGCTACAGATGTGGGGTTGATGATCTTAATGTGGATCAGTGTGGATCACTGTTGGATAAAGGGTTTTTTTTTAAAACTCTTTTTCTCCTTCTTTTAAATAATTGATGCAGATATCAGAGATGGCCAGACAAAAAGCTCACAAAAAGGTTCAAAGTTGGCTTGTCTTCAGGAATAAGTGACTTTCAAAAACACAACAGAAACAAATCTAAGTGGATCTTACCTGCTGGTCTTTTCCTGCCAGCTCCACCTGTTTGAGCTCCCAGAAGGAGCGCATGGTCTCCACCTTCTCCAGGTGTCTGTAGAAGGCCAGGCGACCCAGGCGAAGGCTGTTGCTGCGGTTGCGGATGGATGTCAGACCCTCCATCTTTTCAACGATGGGGGACATGGGGATGGGGGCTGGAACAGCCGTAGTGGGCGGTTTACCAGACTTCTTACTGGAGGCAGACTCATTACGTGGAGCCTTTTTATCTGTCCTGAAATTACAACAATCCTTTTATCAACCTTTGTTCTTTGGAATGTTTTTTAATATCATAAAGCACACAAAGCAGCCAGAAATATTACACAGAGCAAATTCTCTGGCTAAAAAGCAGCAGCTAGTGGACAGTTTGATTGTGTATGGCATCCAGATGAGTAATGTGACGAAATATGTTAAAAAAACAAACGTAACACTTTGATCAAATCGGTGATGAATACAAGTGACCCCATGGCTAAAAGCATAAAGTATTTACTTATTGATTAATGTACAGTCCTTCTTAGTGAGTTTTAGAAGCTGAACATTTTTATTATTATAGTTTGCTTATCTTCCTTAAAATGTAAATACCTGAGAATTTTTAGCCAACCAGAATGGAAAGTCTTTCGCTATCCTCAGAAAACGATTCTAACCAAATCAAATTAAACCCTCAAGACAAACAATGGCATAAAGTAGAAGTGTAGTGGTTTCAAACATTGCTTTCACTCCAGTAACGCGCCGGACGCTGTTAAAAGGGATTACTGCCTCGGTATTAACAGTGCAGCAAAATCTCTTGCCCAAGTCTGATCAGCACGTTTGAAATACTGGAGCTGTGCAGCCAGCATGCTTTGATCTGGGCTCTCTGATCCAAATGAGATGACTGATGATGTTGTGGAGAAATTCGCTGTGACGCCTGCCAGCGACAGCTGGCTTTCTGCTGCGCTCTACCTGTTGAGCCTCTGGGGGAGTCATGGAAGATCACTGGGGATATTAATACCCCCGGAGTGTAAATGTTCTGCCTTTACTTGACAATTACAGAGGTCAGAGAGTGGCTGTAGTTGCAAAATCGTGCCTCAGATGCAGACTCCGTGCAGCAGGCAGAGCTGCCCGCCTCCATCAGAGGTTTTCTCAGGGTAGGATTTCAGCTCAGGGCTGAAGGTGGTGGAAGCACCTGTCACTGTTGCCAATGCCGGCAGGCAAACCGTCAAATTACAGATTTTTTTGTTTGCATTCTTGTTTACTGCTTCTTTTTTGTGTGTCTCTCATGCATCAGAAAAGATGCCACTTTAGATGAGCGCTTGAATGACAATGATAATGAAAAACCGATGAAAAAACATGAAAATCAAATATTCAATGTAGCATATAATGTATCTTTGTAGAGGCTTTTTCCTCACAGGATGCCTGTAAATATCATGAGATGAAAAATGTACCTGGCTAAATGACTCATGGCTAAGCTGACATGTTAGAACTCTGCATTTTAGTTTAAAAAGTAGGTGTTTTTGTATATAAATGACCACAGGATCAGCAAGTGACAGTGTTAGGACACAGCATACAACAGCAGCAGACATGGATCAGTAATATAGTTCAGAGCAGGGACTCTCTGCAGCACCCTATCCAAAGTGCAATCACTGATTTAACTTCTCCCTGGTCGTCAAATTAAAAATGTATACTGTTTTTTATGAAGCATGGAGGTCCAGGCTCTTTTTCCAACAGTTGTCACACCTGATCACAGTCCAGTCAGGCGCTCTCCATTTAGCGGTTTGAACTCTCGTTCCTGTTTTGATGGTGTCAACTAAGATGGTGCTGAGATGGACCACCGCCTTGGAGGGCCCTGCTCTTTGGACACTAGCTGACCCTGGGTCACTCACTTTAAGGGACTTTATTTAGGCTGCTCTGTAGTGCATGGCGATGATGAATGAGCACACCGTCAGCAGAAATGAAAAATATGCACGGGAGAAAACCAGTTCAGCCTCAGAATCTGTGGAAAGCACTGTTCGCCCATCAGTCAGGAATCAACTGTGGTTGCTTTGAGTTGTTCCATTAAAGGTTTTACCACCCCTTACATAACAGCATTGTATGCGATGAATGTGTTTCATGTATATTTGGAATTTTGTGTGTGTTTGTTATGGCTGGTCGCTTTTTGGCATCCCTCTCTATAAAACAGGAGGGAGTCCAATCTGTCCATCTGCCATGTAACTGATAGTCTCATAACTCCTAAAGTAGCAATGAGACACTAAGACCCTGAGGATTGTCTGAGTCCACAAGTGCGTGTTTAGATGATTAAAGACCAACAGAGAAAAATGTATCTGCTCAACTCCTCTTTAGAACGTCAAGTGTCCCTCAAGAGACCAACAATGTGAGAAAAACAGCTCAGTCAAAAACAATCAGGGGAAATCACGCTAAGTGCATTCAATTTCCCTAAATCTCTTAGGATCGATTATCATTATGGACTGAAACAATACACACTGATATTCCCAGTTATTGATATGTTATCAAAACTAAAAATAGGATCATAAAACACTACACTACATCCTAACCAAACACACATTGCACCCGCTCTCAGCGAAGATAAAGCCAAGTGGTGTGGGCAGACAAAGAGTCGGCTGCATGCATGTTTGCCTCTGTTGTTTGCACATGTGCATGCTTGCGCTACATATGTGTGTAGAAGTAACTCAAAGCCTCGCTCGGTTACGGTTTGTTTGTTCCCTGTGAGCAGGACACAGTAACAGCAACAGGGTAGATTAGGAGCTTTTTTTAAATATAAGGCCAGAACATAAGGTCTAGTGCGAGCTGGACAGGAGGGGCGACTTTGAATGGACTGTCTTCACCACAGGCTGCTATCTGTCTCTCTGGGGCCTCTGTTGTCCTGGCTTAGCTGTTGTGTGGAAAGTGCCATTGAAGCCCATAAACCTTAAGAATTTGAGGGCGGTGTCAGTATATATCTATCTACATTTCTCATCTAACTCAAGCCCACGTATTAGAATTACATGAAGACAAAGTTTACTTCTTTAAGAATATAAAGTTGTGGCATAAAGGTGGAGCTAGAGCTAAAATAGAAATACTGAACATTTTTTCCAGACCACATTGCCTCATTAGAGAGGATATTCAAGAAACTGCATCCACCTCGAATTTCTGAAAATCACCTGCATGGACTGTAACATAATATCAAGTGATCAGCACGTTTGGTATGCTCCATCCAAAGTAAACACATCTCTCTTTTTCAGCGTTCCACTTTCGTCATGGTTAAAACCGTGTCGTGGACCAAGGTTGTCTCTGAAAGGAGCCAAATTGTTACTGGACCTAGACGACCCAGAAGTCCCACCACAAGTGGCCAATACTAAATACAGGCATATGGTTGGGCAAATATAATTTGAAATTGAGCCGTAAAGGCACAAACTCACTTAAAATGACATTTGTTGAAACAAGCACACTGCAGTTTCCCATATAAATACACAGACGTATAACCCACTTGAACCCTAACAGACATATTCGGAGACCACAGCCCCTCCAATCCTTCACACTGACAACAACTTAGCAACCTCTGCAGAAGAGTGTAACTGTAGAAGCTTCACCCAGTGTACTTTCCTGTCGCCAAGAACAAAGCAGGGGCCTTATTTTGGTTCGCAGCAAATGGGGTCACGTTCCACTATTTCCTTTTTATATTTTTAATATAATGGGAAGCTCAGATTCAATCATTTCTACTCTAGCTTCTTGTTTAAAGTAACATCTTTACCATAAAAGCTTTAACGACGCACTCACAGGCAATTACCACCACATAAGTCAAAGAATTTGTTATGTGTGTAATTTTCCTCCCAGATTCAGCTTATAAAACACATTTTAAATCAAAGACAAGACCAAGACTGAATGTGTGCTATATAAATCAGCGTGTTGGGTAACTTGACAAGTGGCACCTTGCACTGCATGCAACTGATACCGGCAGAGAGGAGGTGTCAGAATTTAAAACATGGTCATAATGCAAGTTTAAGATTGCTTTGCATTTAGGAAGACTGACAAAAATCATCAGTATTTGCTGGGGAAAATGTGTTTTTGACCATATAAACTTATGGATAGACTTAAAACATATCAGCTCTGCAGAGCTCTCCTTAAAGACCTGTCAGCACCTCAGCGTGCATGCAGTGGTAAGAAAACTCACCCTTGGTAGTTGGGCACATTTGCGATCACTAGAACTTTTTTCTCCTTTCCTCCCATGTTTCTTATGGGTGTGACGGACTTCCCAGGTTTCCAATCTTCTCGAATAGCTTGTGTGTTCAACTCCTGGTGCTGGATGCTCTCCTCCTATGGTCACAGACCATGCAGCTGGGACGGACTGATCAGATCTGACTCACAGACTGAGATATCTGGAGAGACGGCCCATTGGGAAGCTCTGGCTCCGAGTGGCTCTCTGTGTTGGGAGCCACGACCGTCAAGGGATAAACACCAGAGGGGGCGGGGATGAGGGGGGAAATGGGGTGTGTGGGAGGAGTGTTTGTCTGCTGTGGGACCCACAACTAGGGACAGAGTTGAGGGAGTGTTCCAGGGAATTTGGCTTATTATAAGAGAATGAGCAGAATGTGTATCTGTAAGAGAAGTGATGATAGACTGCAAAAAAGAAAGGAGATACAGAGACAGAAAACAGGGGGCCGGAGACTTCAGCCGAATTTGTTGTTGACTTTTTGTCGCTGTTACATTGGTCATTTTTCAACCTTTAAGGTGGTGTAACAGTTTTGTTAGCAAATAGTTTTCTTTGCAATTCCCCTAAAAAAAATCATCTTCATCCCAGCTTTCAGATGCATCTTTACTCCCCTCTTTTCTGCATTGATTTCCACATCTTATTTCTCTTCAGAATGTAGTCTGCGACAGAGAGCGATGAACTGAAGGGAGGACATGGTGGGATGTCTTAAGCCAAAGGCCTTTGTGGCTCTGGACACCTTCAAGCAAAAGGTTGACTATCTCCATCAATAATTATTGTACTTTTCTAGTTTTCTCATGATTACTGCTTTTTCCAACGGATGTTCCAACAATACCAGATAGGGTAAGGCATTAGAAGAACAAAGGGTTTCATTTAAAATTCTATGCATGATAGTGAATATATAGACATAGATACACCTAATAAAGTCACTGCACCATCAGTAAGGTGCATACAGGTTAGTAACAACACAACATAGTATACTTTCAATTATTAATTGTCTTCTGTAAATAAACATGTTCTACTCTTTAAAATGCAGGTCTGGCTATTTTTCCATAACATATTGTCTTTACACAGGACTGTGATAATTGGCAATCAAAGTATTTTATTAATGTTTATTGAAAATTGTATTTCTGGATTCATTCAAATAGTGTTTGACAAAAACTTCCCTTAAATATGAATACAGAATATTCTACATTTGTTTTATAATGAAAGGTATCAATGAACCCAATAACCTTCTAATAAATAGTGTGTGTTTGTTTATATATCTTCCATGCCTTATTTGGGGAGGGTCTTAACATTATATAGAAGAAGGGACCTACACATGAATACCTAGTTCATATTAGTTATAATCAGACTTGAACAGCCTGTCAGCTGGACCCAATAAAAATCTCAGATGGCAACAAGGTGAGGGTTTCTTTTCCATTGTTAAGCTTGTTAAACTGTTTTAGAGAAGGAGCAGGTGGTGTGAAGGACACCACTCTGAGCTTCTCTGAGAGGAGTTTCAGGCTGTCGGGAAAAATGAGAGCTGAAAAGTTGAAAAATATTGGGTTTTTTAGAAGGACAATTAAGTGGCATGAGGGGCTCCTGCCATTGTGGATTTTCATAATACTGACAGAAAGAAAAGTTGATTGTTGGACAGTTTACTCAATAAATCTTATTGCCATCATAAAGGAGTTCAATAAAATGCTAATTTAAATAATAAACTTGGATTACAACAGATTTTTATGCATTTTAAAATATATATTCTGTATCACATCTATAAGTTTCTGTGAGAGGCAAAGGGAGTTTTTATAGACAAATGTGGCCTTGGCAGGGTTCAGGCCACAGATGTCTGTGTTGAAGGCTGTCCCTGGGGCTGCCAGTGCAGGTTTTGTGGTTCTATAACCTTTGTGAGAGGGCATGAGGGCAAACAGGTGATGTTCAGGGTTGGATGAATCTTTTAGGGGGCTGATTGTTGTGTGAGGGCTGGAGAAGCTGAAAATGTCTGTCAGTAAAAGGCATTTGGGATGTGGTGATTATTTGGGCCACGTTGATCACCCTCTGAAGAGCTTTTCTGTCCTATACTGAGCAGCTGGTTAAGGCCAGTTAAAGGCCAGCTCTCTTATGAGAAGGCAGGAATAAAAACTATCTGGAGAAGGGAGCCTTTGAAAAAAGCAAAGAGTGTCATAAATATGATTATCAAGGACTGATGTCCTTTATATATATATATATGTATATATATATGTATGGTCAGGACGGTCTTTTTTCTTTGTTCTTTTTTCTTGCGCTGTGAAACTGATGTATTATCACCTTATATGATGACTTTTATACTAAAGGAACTCATGTTTATCATCCCATTTGATAAAATGACTTATTTATTAGGTACTGTCTTTCCAAGGATCAGGGAGACCAGTGAAAAGCTGAACGTTTCTGGAGCTCCCTGGTATTAAGATTTATTTGACCAGAAATGATCCTCCCATATGCATTTTAGGTTTCAGGGGCCAAAAGTGGGGTCTGAGTTGATAAGCCAAGAGCTGACAGCTGATTTAGTCACAGAGCTGAAAAAAAGCGTTCTGTTTGTGTAAGGGAGAGGCAGCATGGCAGATCACGCCATTTAAGACACTTGTGACTTCTCTGCTTCAGCAGTACTGGTGTGCTATTTAAAACAACACTGGCATGGTCCTTGGCATCCTCTGGTAGAGTGAATGAGCAGATAGAAGCAAAAAATATTAGGACGTGAGCTGGTGGAATTGGACCGAAAAGAAAAACTTTATAATTTGTCAGAAATCCTGCTGATGCCTCCATCCTTCCTTAACTATTGGAGGTGGTAGCAAAAAATTATTGCTCATTGGATGCACAAAGTATTATTACTGTTAAAGAAAACATGAAAAAACAACAGGTAACAAGTTTTGGTTAAAAGAAAAGGTTGGTGTTTTTGTTCCCAAAGCAGAAGAATGGCCTTAAGAATATCTGAAGGGCTTTGAAACCCATCTGCTGTTAGCTCTCAAAGGTTATCTGGGGCTCAATGGTTTAAGAGTGCTGCTTTCCTTTTTCATTCTGAAATAAACAACATAAAGCACTTACAAACTTATGAAAGGACATGGTGCTCAATTTGTAGATATTAGTTTATTACTCGCATAAAATCACTTCTCAAGGTGAGAAAACATCTTCGTGAGCAATGTGTTCCTATAGTTACCAGCTGGATTGTCTCATTATCATTGGCTGTGTTTATCACTCTCATCTGTTCTTCTCTTGACCTTTCCATTAGTGAGCTCAGTTTTTAGTCCACAGGCTATGACACTGAATCCTTCCTCCCTTCCTCTGTTGTCCTCTGGTCTTTTCCTTTCTCCTCTGTACAAATTGACCACACTCGTGCCTGTTGCTGTTGGGTTTAACACTTTACATCTGTCCGAGAGTAGTGCCAAATGTTTGCATTCCTCCTAGGCTTTAAATAGCTCACAGCTCATAATTAGATTATCTTAGGACAATGGCATTGTAAGCCACAGAAAATAAGACACGCTTTATCATGTACTATCTTGAGCTAAATTTATCTGTATGTATATATATATAGAGGCTATATATATATATATATCAAGGTGAGAAACTCTATAACTCTAACCTTAGTCATAAAAGAGAACTGCTTATGGTCAGGAAAAGCATCGCAACTTGATATTGTGAAATTTTCTCACAATATCAACTGCATGTTAGAGATCTCCTTATCAAGCTTACCAGGTGATGTTGGCCAGTCCATCTGTAAAAGGCAAACATGATGCAAATACTAAACTGAAAGTCATGGTAATCATTAGCTTAGTTTTAGATCAACGTCGGTTTCTCAGCCTGATTGGCTGACAACCTGCTGAGGCTGTACCGTGTACCACTCAACACACCCAACGGCACCCCCGTGGCCCTGAACTGGATTTCATAGGAACAGTTAAAGAGTGAATGGCCTATTTCACAATTCACTACGAACTGCTCTGAAACATTTAAAACTCTGTGGTAGCTCTGAAACTCAGTATAAGATAAGCTTAGTGTTCAGCTATTGTTCAAGTGGCTATAGAGGCTGTCAGCTGCTGACTGACCTGACCTCCACCACCTGTTTCTACGCTCTTACTCGTATTTTTTAATACATATATAGCCATAGATTTTATGTTAGCAATGAAAATGTAACAGAAGAACCAAAAGATAAATGACAGCACTTAACCACATGTTTTCCTCCTTCAACGTCCATGAGTCAGATCATTGTGTCATCAGCCATTCTGGGCATAGCTTAACAACATTTTGAGTAGATCTATTTAATCTGAATTGGGTGTGTTGTAGAAGGAAACATCTCAAACCTGCTGGACTGGCCCTTGCAGACTGGATTTGAAGGTTTAAGGTAGCTCAAAGCCTTAGCAACATATTAAAATGTAGTAAAGAAAATGTCCCAGATTCAAACAACGTTTTCGGAGTCAAACATTGTGAAAAACAGTAAAAATCCCACAAAAAACAGAGGGTATCTACAGGGTCAACATTTGACAGCATATATGGAAAACTAAATAATCAAAAACGATCCATCTGCTTGGTTTGGAGTTTATCTGCAACACCTTGGATTTAGTACATTGACACATTCAAAATCTTAGTTCTTTTCATCACAACAAAGAACACAAACAACAAAGCTAAACTTTTTTAAATGACAGAATATCAAAATGACACATTAAACAGTAAAACCTTAAAATAAAAATGTGCAGAAAAGGATACGGCATTTAGTTTTAGATGCAAAAAGATGCACCATATCTTGATTTCTGACATCACATAAGGTGTGAATATGTTAGGCTCTGACGGCACACGACCAAAATCAAATACCCACACCTGACGTGTGGCCCACTGTAAACTTGACATAGATTTCCAGGGGTGCATCTAATCTTACGCGGAATCTCAATCAGGAGGCCAGATTCCTTGGTGATCCCATAGAAGGTCACAGCTGTGAGGACACACAATGAAGCATACCGGCTGACCACAACCACAATGGTCGGCTGCAAACCTCGGTGCGCTCATTCGACAGAAGCGAAGCCACGTGCGTTTGCTTTTGGGCATCTGAGGAGGATGACGGTGGTTCTATCGAGTGCTGCACGGTCAACAAATTTACAGCCCAATTTAGGAGCTACTTGGTTAGACTGTTCGAATGGAAAACTAATAGACTAGTGCACCAGACGCGCTGCTGTCTTTGTACTTAGATCACTAAAATACTTGGTGTGATCCCCAGTACATTTTAGACAGCTA